TAATCAATGATGTAGTCACAACTTCTAATGATAATGAATAGTTATTACCCAATAGGATCAGAAAATCCCAATAATACAGAAGTAAGAATATAGGTAGATTCTATTCTAATCAAGTAAATGCATTCTTGACAAAGTCTATTTTTTACATATGTCAAAACTATATGAAAATGTTTTCTGATCTATTACATTAGAACACAAAATACTTTAAAAGAAAATTTATATACTTCTGGAAGTTTGAAAAGCACATAGGATTTATGTATTTATGACCCAAGTCTTGGCCGGGCGCGTTGGCTCATGCCTGTAATCCCAGCACTCTGGGAGGCTGAAGTGGGAGGATCACTTGAGTTTAGGAGTTAGAGACAAGTCTGAGCAAGAGTGAGACCCCATCTCTACTAAAGATATAAAAAATTAGCTGGGCGCGGTGGTGCATGTCTGTAGTCCCAGCTACTTGGGAGGCTGAAGCAGGAGGATCACTTGAGCCGATGGGTTTGAGGTTGCTGTGAGCTAGGCTGATGCCACAGCACTCTACCTGGGCAACAGAGTCAGACTCTGTCTTAGAAAATTATTTAAAAAAAAGCAAATATGACCCAAGTCTTTTATTAATACCTTTGAAAGGAAAAGTGGAATAATGGTGAAGCAAAATCTTATGTCAATGATTCTCAGAATCACCAATATGTTTTGCCCAATATTCTCTAAATCGAATTACTCTGCTACATGTAAAATATTTTCTTTAAGTTAATCAAATGTTTCTATAGAAACATTAGAAAGGCTTTAGAAAATAAATACTTAAAACTTTGTATTAATAGTTGCATTAGTTTTCTCAGGCTGCTATAACAAAATACCATAGACTAAGTGGCCTGAACAATAGAAATTTATTTCTCACAGTTCTAAAAGCTGTGAAGTCCAAGTTCAAGGCGCCAGCCAATTTGGTTCCTGAGTAAATACTGCTTCCCTACTTCCTGGCTTGCAGTCAACATATCTTCTCGTTATGCCCTTACATGGCAGAGAGAGAAAACACAAGAGAAGGAGAGAGAGAGAGAGAGAGAGAGAGAAAAGGTCTCTGGTCTCATAAGGTCACTAATCCCATCATGAGAGCCCACCTTCAGGACCTCATCCAAACCTAATTATTTAATACATCCTGAAGGCTACATTTTAAAATACCACCATCACATCAGGATTAGGGAATTTTAGGGAGTTACAACTCAATATATACAAATAGTGATGAATCAGTATTTTTAAATAAAATTTCTTAGTGTACAAAGCCATTTAAGTTTGTTAATATTAATTAAGCTTTTCCATAAAGCTGTGAAAACAGAATAACTCTAGTCCCTCAAAGCCCATTCAAACTTACTGAATATCATTCAATATAATTCATCCTTTCATAAAACAAATCTTTATTGAATGCATGCTACATGTTTCACGTTGCTGTCATGGTACTAGGCCCAGCCTGCCGATAAAATAAAAAACGTATAACAAATAGTTTCAGTTAATTTATGGTGGTAGGAAATATACTATAAATGTACATGATTTGGGTTTCAAGGCATATTAATAATACATTAGTTGTGTATATACACAATAACCACTAAAGAATTGGAAAAAAAGAGGAATACACTGACAGGGCACAGTGAAAGAGAAATGACATTTAAATTTAGGATGGCTTATGTGGAGAGGCAAAAAGTAAAATCTTTATGTATGGGAACAGCACGTTGACCAGTTTGCCTGGGATTCCTGTAAGTAAGTGAGAGGCAGGGGGCAAGGATGGATTTTTGAAAATAGAAAATGAGAAGTAGTCAAGAATTTTAGCAAGGCTTTGGGTATTGAGAATGGTATATTTCAGGAAATTTTATCCAAAGGCATA